TTTTTTAATAGTAATTAGTTAGATTTTCATATTTGAAATATGAAAATTAGAGTTATTTAGTTAATTAATATAATATATTATTTAAAAACGTGTCAGTTAGAGAAATAATGTTCGATTTGATAAAAAGAATAAAATAAAATTTGTTTATTAAAGATTTAGATGATCTTGTGGAACGTTTAAATGAATGTGAATATTCATTTAATAGTCAATATGATTTAATAGAAAATGTTAATAAAATAAATCGAAAAGAAAATTCATCTCGATCATGTAAATCACGTTTTGATTTATCATCAAAATTATTTTATTATTCTATTGAAAATATCTTAACTATTGAAAAAAAAACAGATTAATTTCAAATGAATTTAATTCAGAACAAATTCAACAATCATTTCAATAAACGATTTTTTTTTAAAATGGATAAATAAATGGATTTATTTTAGTAAATTAATATTAAATAAATATTAGTATTATATGCTCATTCGGATAAATATCATGATTTTAATTGAATATTACATGTTTATTCATTAGATGAGTATTCCTTTTTTAAAATCATACAAATTGCTTTTTAAAAACTTGTACACAAATAAGTAAATCAAAATCATTTATTAAATATTTATCATCAATGACTTTTTCAACAAAATCCTCATTATGGAATGATATTGAATTAAAAGATATTTTATCATATAAAACAATATCATCAATTCAATCATCAAATAAAACAAATGTATCAAGAAAATTATTTCAATCGAATACAACAGATCAATTAACAGTAAGATTTATTATTTGATTTATTTAATACAATATTATACATATCAATGAATATGATTTATATTAATTGAAAAAAAAATTGTTTCCAAATTTTCATTAATGAAAATTTTTACTTTGGAAGAATTTTGTTCATAAATATTTAAAAACAGTGAAATATTTAATCCGATCTAGTAACAAGAAAAATTGATCCCTTAGAATACTTTATTTTTCTTTTTTTTCTATATTTATCATGAAAAAAAACAATGAGAAATCATTTGATAATATATATCATCGATTTAAAAAGAATTTATTTCTTTTTCATAATCGAGCACGATGAAAATAAACTCATCTGAAATTCTATGAAATATGATAATTGTCGTCGACTTTTTCTAAAAGCTTGTCAAACAATGAAAATAATTCGATAAATAATAACCATTTTAAAGCCTGTCTACGGCGAACACTTGTTTTTCTTTCTAGAGCACACTTTTTATAGAGGATATTAGAGAAAAATGACGATAATTCCCTATAGTGTCAATCTTTATTTTTAGACGTAGAACCCCTTGGAATTTAATTTAAGAAAGAAAAAAGTTGATTGAATTTGATTAAAATCGATTTGTTGAAAAAGTTTTTGTTTTCAAATGAAAATTTTCAATAAATAAGATT